ACTCGAATTGTGATTAATTGTTTGAATAGATTATCGTGATCCGGATTATACTCGGAATGGAAAGGCTCAAGTCAAGTAACTTTTGGAGTTCGTTTTAAGGCAAGTGGCTTCCAAACTTTGTACAACTCTTAGACTACGCATGACTACTTTCCTAATTGTGTTGGGGAGTAATGGGGATTGATGATGGGTTTTATTTGTTGATTGAAATTGTTGTAAATGAAAGATGGGGAATAAAACGAGCTAAATGTGTTATATGTGACTTGAATTTGTTGAATAAGTCATGTGATAGAAGAGCATGAGTAGGCTATGATTGATACAGACATTGTGATTGAGACAGGTGATGTGTAATGCTATGATGTGGCCGTGATATGGTTGTGATTGAGACATGTGATGTGTAATACTATGATGTGGTCGTGATATGGTTGTGATTGAGACAGGTGATGTGTAATACTATTATGTGGTCGTGATATGGTTGTGATTGAGACAGATGATGTGTAATACTATGATGTGATCGTGATATGATTGTGATTGATGACATGTGCATATTCATTATTCATCCCATGTGTGAACTATCTGTTGCATGAGTTTTGAGACATTGATATGATGATGGATGGATATGAGACACAGTTGAGACTAGCGATTTGGATGCCGATGGGATCCGGTTCCGGCGGTGATACATGGTCCATGTGTGGCCCCCATGGGTTCTGATTTGAGTATTCAGCGCGGACTGATTACGTCAACAGATGTGTATCGTAGGACAGACATGCATCACGACTACATGACATCTTTATTGCATTTTGCATCACATTTGCCTTATCTTTGTCTGTGATGTGTGGATTGTATCGGTTTACCCTTCTTATGTGGAATTTGATCTATTTGCTCTTATTTGTTGATCTGAGGTTGATGAGAATATACTGTTGGTTCTGGCTGTTGAATATGATCTGTTTAGTATAGGTTGGTTGGTTTGCTGCTAGATTGAAGTTTCAGTGGTTCGGTTGGGTTTGAAAGGAGTTGTTTGTAGCTGCTAGTTTTGCTTAGTTTAGAGTTACTTGCGAGTATTTTCTTTAGCAGATTGAGCTTCGGGACATACTCGAGAGGTAGCGGTTCATTCCAGACGTGCCCTTGAGTTATCTTTACTTTCAGTTTTGTTCTATTCGAGAACTATACTCTGAGACTTGTATATTTTTATTCAAATTCTGTATTTTGAGGTTTGTACATGTGACAACCAAATTCTGGGTAGTGTTGATCTTAATTAAAGTCTTCCGCTTATTTATTATCTTTTATTCTAGTATTTCTACTTCTCTATCGTTGTGGTTGGGTTAGGTTGACGTGTCCGGTGGGAAATGGACATGTGCCATCACATCCGGATTTGGGGTGTGACACAAACTCTGGCAGCTCCGGAGGAAAGGGGCTAGCCAACCGGATAGAAGTCAACCCTGCTGTTGAGGAGGTCTACTCGGTCGTCTGTTGGGACCTGCATGCATGAATGCAGCATCCCCAGGCTATGGAGCGTCAGTACAAAATAATGTACAGAGTATGAAAGACAATAGACTATGAGCAGGTATCCTAATATACTGGAATAATCCGATAAATAAATCAAGGATAAGATAAGTGTATTGACCTACTCCTAAATCTAAACTTATCAAAAATAATAAAACAACAATCTAACCAAGCCCCCATAAGCTTGGCAGGTACAAACAACACACAAGACCACCTACTCAAGCCCCCATAAGCCCGAAAGGTGTCAATCAGTCTATATACTCCCCTAGCCCATAGGCAGTCACATAACCCTCTTAGGCATTAATATAGCCTCGTAGGCAGCACATAACTCTGTTAGGCATCAACATAGAGACAACTCATACTTTCACATTTGTAATTCTAATGCATTTTTTACTTCCCATTTTATTATATGATTTCTATCATTAATGATAATTCTTCGTTTTATTTTTTAAATTTCTCAACCTAATATTTCAAGAATAAATTTGCTAGCATAGGAAGCGATTAAATAATGTACAATATTAATATTTGAATATAGAAATAAAAAATGAAATTAAACGGTTCTAAGATTTGTAGGAATATTTTTCTTACCAAAGTTAAGAAATTAGTTGTTCAAAACTTATTCCTTAACTATGGGTATGATACTAGTTAATGGAACATAATCTTGACCTTTGACACTTAAATAGTACACATGTCTCTCATCTAGATGTGTACTTGACGAAATTGAGGGAAAGGTAATGGAGGGGAGCCAAATCCCAATAAAGGTGGTAGTCAACACTACTTTGCTTTTCATTGGGTTGATAGACTAAAGATATTATTAGCATGGTGTGATATATTGTCTGCTTAATTTGAATCAAATATAGATATTTTTTTATAAAAGGTCTCACATTATTAAGATATTCTAACTGTAATGACCCTCTAGGTCATTTTTAAATTAAAACATTCATTCCATCGTTTAGAGCATTTCTGTAGCGATCCCAAGTCATTTATGACTTGTTGGCACTGACTGTTCGGTCGCCTAGTCGTTCGTTTGGGTTTTAGGCCCGTTTCCCTATTTTGGAGATTTTATTACTTGAAAAGTTGACTTTGATCATAAATTCAGGTAAAAGACCTCAGAATAAAATTCTGACGATTCCATCAGCTCCGAAATGGCCAAATTTGGCTAGTAGCATGGTCAACACGAGTATCGAGGCAATCGGTACGAGTTTAGGGTCATTTGACGTTTTTGCCCTTGCAATTTGGCCTATAGTTGACTTTGGTCAACCTTCTTGGAAGACGTGCTCAGATGAAAATTCTGACAGCTAGGTTAGCTTCGGAATATCGATTTTGGTCTAGAACGACCCTTTGTTCACTTCCCGAGGCTTTAGATGCCCGTTGTGGAATCTGGCTCAAAACGATACTAGGCGTGGGACCCACTTTTCATCGAAGCGATCTCCAATGGAAATGTCGACTTCACCGTTGAGTCCGAAATATCATTTCCAATCAGATTCCATATATGGTTTGTGTTTTTTCGACTCCGAACGAGTCCGGAACATCGAAATTTAGGTTTGAAGAGTTGTTGAATTCTAACGTGGTGGTGACGTGGCAGAGCCACACGACGCCACGTGGTAGCTTGTTGAAATCTGGAAATTTCCAGATTTAAGGACAATTTTCGTCCATTTTTTTTTCTCATCTTCAAACATAGATATCTCCTCCATTTTAAGCTCAAATTAGGTGATTCAAAAGACTAATTTCAAGAGAATTTCGTGGGGAATCTAGAGGTAGCTCAGAAACGCGAGGGGAGGCTTCGTTTGAGGTAAGGAATCGAATTTAGCTACTGCTAGAGTGATTTTCGGAATGAATTTTTGTTGAACTTTGAAAGGTTAGATCTTGATCATCTTAGGTCTGTTTTGAGTCATTCTTGAGGCTAACTTGTAGAGTTTTTCGCAAGGATCGTCTTGGTATAATCTGTTTGGGTTGGAAGGTTCTCGTTTTTCCAGAATTTAGTGATCAAGGGGCTGCCAAGTCGTAAGTCAAGACTTATTAATGATTTTAATTGTTGGGGCTGATTTGCTATGTTTTAGGCATTTTTTTGTGCTAAATTTTGGAGTATTAGTTTAGTAAGGTATTTGGGACGTTTTCACGGATTCATTTTCGGAATTCCAATTGTGGGTCCCACAATCCAGTTTTAGACCCAATTTTGGGTCCGTCTCCGAAAAATATAATTTTAGTGTCAACATATTCGTAATGACGAGGTGATTAACCTTTTGATAGTGGGGAAGCATTTGGAGACCGTTCGGAGGGGAAAAGCTTCGGTACCGTGAGTTGGAGCACGCGTGATCGACTTTCAGGTAGGCTATGGCTTTCATCTCGTGAGATTGAGCATGTTTAGGCAATTGCTTATTGATTTGCTTGAGTATGGAGGGGTTCGGGTGTCGAGCATGCTAAATTTCTATAATTCCTGCCTTAGACCTTATTTCGGGAAATTATTGGATTATGAAAGCATGACTCTTGATATTATTGAACATCCATACCTTGTGGTGTATATGATAATATTGATTTGAAGTATGTTTGGCCTTAGTCTTGGCTTAGACTAGTGTTGCCATAGACTTGCGAGGTTTCGGATGTCGTTGGGCAGTAGAACTTTTTCCGACGTCGTTTCGGACGGTCAGCTCCTTGTAGACTGATATAACAGACTTTGAGTCTGATAGTCTGAGCCTTAGCTAGGCGGTAACTCAGCTTATGATCTTGTATCCATAATGCCCTGCTTTTCTATCGACTATAGATACCCGGTTAGAGTCCGTGGTCCAGCTTACTTATGTCCAGACTTAGCTATAGTACCCGGTTCGAGTTTGTGGTCCAGCTTACCTGTGATCTGATTTTTGGCTACAATACCCGGTTAGAGTCCGTGGTCCAGCTCACCCGTGCCCGACCTTTGGCTACAGCACCCGATTCGAGTCCGTGGTCCAGCCCATATAGGTTGACTCATTAGCTATAGTACCCGGTTCGAGTCTGTGGTCCAGCTTGCACGTGGTGCATTCCCAATTCCTTACTGAAGCTTCAGTATAGTCTTGATTACTCTCATCTGTAGGTTGAGGTTTTGGAGGTTGGAGATGTTCCGATTAATGTCCGGGACGTAATGAGATCTTGGAATATAATTGGGAATGGTTCAGTTAAAGTCCGGAAATTAATAATATTGTGATAGACCTTCTAGCTCCATTATTTTACTTCAATTGCCGGTGCATCTGCCAGGCTTACGGGAGTCCGTGCAGGTGGTTTCTTTTATTGTGCACGAGCGTACCCGTTGGGTTTATGGGAGCCCGGTGGAGTTAGTTAGATTCCTTGTCTTTGTTGCCTGTACGCTCGTGTACATACCCACATTTACTACTCGTTTGCCCTTGATTGTGACCCTTTATTCGCATTTCAGTTCACTTTTGCTTATCTTGCTCAGTCGACCTGATGCCTACTGGGTACCTGTTGTTTTGGTACTCATACTACACTCTGCATCTATTTTCGTGATGCAGGTCCGAGTACTAGCTACCGACGTTGATTCGAGCCAGCTGCAGTCGTGATCGGAGGCAAGGGTGAGCACACAATGTCCTGGATTTGCCCGTCTCCTTCTGTACTTACTTTTGCTTTTTTAGACAGCTTGTTTCTGTAGTCCACTTTTAGGACTTGTACTTTTGTTAGCAGCTCTGTACTTGTGACTTTCAGGTTTTGGGAGGAATTCATTTTGTGTACATATGTCTAGTCGCTTCCGCCCGTTCATTGCATGTTCTTGTTATATTTATTACTATTTTAGGTTGATTTATTGGTTTTCTACCCTAACATCCCATTACTTCGAGTTCCGGGATATGGGTCGGCTTGCCTACTGGTGGGTCATATAGTAGGCGCCATCATGACCTGAGAAATTGGGTCTTGACACTAACACATCTTAAAAATATTTTTGACATAGTGTAATATTATCAACTTTGGATCAAATTCACACAGTTTCCTAAAAAAGTCTCACTCTATCAAGAGATCATGTGCTTTATATGTGTGCAGCTTTTCAATCTTTTTATCTACCAATATTAAGTTTATTTACATACCCAACTTAAGTAGTTGGTGAAAAAAATAACTTCATTGTATAATTATTTTTTTACGCTTACATTATTCCAAATTGAGTAAAACTTCTTATAATCCTTAAAATATTAGTTAAATTATTAATTATTTTTTTTATCTTGATAAAGTTATGTATCTAAACTTTAAATAATAGTTTAGATAATTACACATAATTCTCTCAAATTTTAGTACTATTTATTAGGACTCCTAGTCCAATATTCCTAGTCTGGTATTTGTAGGAGTCTTATAGTTTGAGTTATGTTATATTACGTCTCTATAGACTTGTACAATATAAATATAGTTGATGATGTCTACAGGCATGCTATGCCGTGAGTTATTTGTTACACTATTGTTAAAAAAATTTCTTAAAAACGAGTAATTTCACAGGTAATGTTTTTGGCTGCACAGGCAACCATGTTAATTTTCCATTTTTAGAAGTGTAAAACAACTCAATTTTGAATAATAATGGAACAAAATCGATTATTTTTACCATAAAATAAAATATTCAATTTGTACTGATACTTGTGGTAATGGGTTAGAGCCCCAAAATGAGCATCTCTATTGTTGTTCACTTGTTCTTTTAATATTTTCCCTTTACCATTCAAAATTCTTGGATCATATTTAGGTAATATATATTATTTAAAATAAAATTGACTTTGATAAAATCAAAAACAAATGAAAAAAAATCAAATTCTCTTTTATTCAAATTCCACCCAAATCCATTTTATGATTGAGTAGATGAAATTTGTTTTTGTATATATGAAGAGAAAAAGAGCAAGAAAGGGAGGCCAATATAGAAAAATTAACATAGACACTTTTTAATTTTCTTTGTAAAGAACATAAAGTGAAACAAATGAGGAAAATCCAAAAACATTACGCGAAATATAGTACTTGGCCTGTGAGATATGTCACATTATCTCTCCATAGACCTAATTTATATAATAGATAAATTTCTTCACAGAAATTCATTTACGCTTCAAAGCGACAAACAATATGCTTGTTTTCTCATAATTAACTTTCATCCATTCTGAAATCTCTTTACTCTTGAGAATTGTTCTTGCACAAGCTTCTTCTGCTATTTTACTTCTAAAATGATTGATTATGACTCCTTCTATAGAACTTCTTAGACTCATCATTAAAGTCTTTGCATCAGCCTCATCCACAAGATTTGATTTGATATTTATCAACTCCATTCTCTCAATGCTAAAAAGTCCATTTTTCTCCACTACTTTAGTCATGTCTTGAGGAGAGGGTAAATACAATGGCAAATTGAATGAGTCAACTAGAGATTCATCTAATTTTCCCTATGACAAAAAGAAAGAAACATCAACTATTAATTTATTATCAGTGTATTTCAATTTATGTGAACATATTTTCTTTTTAATTTGTTGGAAAAGTGCTTAGCATATTTAATATCATAAGTTCCCATTAAAATGCTTGGTATAATCTTATGGGAGATAGCCACACTAATATTTTGTCATAATATAAGTTTTTAAAGTCTAGACTATTTAAACTTTGAAAACTTTATGCCTAGTCAAAAAAAGTTCAAATAAACTGAAATAGGTAAAAGTATATGACATACTAAAATACACTTGAAGCTTGTTCAAAACAAGTCAAAAGGCAAAATATCGTCATACAAAATAAAATAGAGATTACCTCATTCACCATATCCATAAGACTAGAACCAAAAAAATCCCAAAAGACATACGTAGCCTAAAAATGGTGAAACAAGCACCATCATTCCTCCGGGAACAATCTCCTCAGCTCTTGCATTAAAGAACATTTCCATGTCCCTTTCAAATTGAGCAACATAAGCATTCACTATTTCAACATTTGATGCACCAACATAGTCAATCAATCCCTTATTCCAAGCTGGGGAATTTTTATCTAACAACTCTTTTGGAATCTTAGATAACCAATGTATAGCACAAGAACAATGAGCAAAATGTATCGATCGTGATGGAAATAATCTACCATGGAAAGATCCTGGAACTCCAGATGCATAGTAGGATCGATCAACAGGTAGTAAACAAAAAAGGGTGTTGAAATCATTGGTGACTTGATCATTGAAGAATATTTGGAATTCAGGAATACTCTTGGAGGAATCTATGAGTTGGTCTTGGTATAAGTACTTGTCCTTTAGAGCTTCTACAATATGTTGCATTGAGCTAAAAGTGTTTGGTCCAACAGAACATCCTAACTCTGTAATATGTATTGTGTTTGAAGAAGATAATATGGTCTTGATGTCAAGCTTTCGAATAATTACATCTCTCACCATCTCCTTTACACCATCTATTATTTCTTTCTGTGTGCAATTATAACAATAAAGTCACGTTGATAGAAAAGTTTCAGTTACTTTAGTATATATGGTAACAAAAATATTTATTGATGTTTGTGTAACAACGGATAAAGTTACTTATGTTACTATTATAGTGTGTAAAATATAATCAATTTAGTGTGATAGATAGTCGTGTTTTATTGTTATAGTGGATAAGTCGGTAACTATACACATATAATTGGTGTACGGCTTGTTTGTATAGCATGCCAAAATTTTAGCTAATAGCATAGACACAACTTTATTTCTTAACTAAATCCAAGCAAACATCATGTTCTATCATGACTCCAACTGAGGCCACCCTAGCCCACTCGTGGGCCTCATCATAGGCAAGATGTTGGTGTTACCCAACAATCCTCCTCCCAACACCTGCCTCATGCATCTTTTTGCTCTTGGAAATCAATTATATGATCTTGGTTGATACCACTTGTAAGAATCTAGCGCTTACCACCATGACAAAAAATATAGCTAATATCAAGGGCACAACTTTATTTCTTAATTAATTCCATCAATTAAGCTCCAATTTTCGATCATAAATCCAACCTGGGCAACCCAACCCCCTCGTGGTCCTCGCCACAAGAAGAAAATTGACATTATCCAACATCATGCTTGATGAATTCTTGATTGAGTTTTACATTTACACCCACAAAATAGTTTTTGTACAAGAAAATATGCTTGATATAAGTTGGATTAAAAACAAAAATTAGATAATTTGTTATAATCTGTTAAACTAAAATATATGAGATCAATACCTGCAAATGGGAGTTTTTGGAGTAGCTATAAAGACCATCACCAGCATTCATGGGGAAAGATGCCATTTTGGCTTAATGTGTTTTCTCATTCACTCATAATGTGATCTTATATATGTGGATTTTGCACTGTTTAACTCCATGCCATATGAATATATAGTTACATCGGATACATAACTATGAGCATGATTCATAATGAGAATTGAAAGGGATGTATCTGAGAGTGGATTGTTGTAATTTTTTAAAATGATAGTAAACTTTAAAAATTATAATATATTAAATTGTATATTTATATATTTTTTCTAATTAATAATACATTAATAAAATATTGAAAACAGAAATTTCGTTCAAGTAATTAACTAATTTCATGTACTGTTATTCGTAATATAACAATTCTTACATTATTATTCATCACATAATAAATCATTCATTGTCAAAAATATGACTAAAAATAAATTAAAAAATACTATTCATCATGTCAAATTTATGATAAGTGCAAAAGAGTTGTAAAAGAGAAGAAAACAAATAATAATGTTATTTTCCACCCAATTCAATAAAAGGAAAGGTATAATATATAAGCGTATTTTTTTAAAATTTACCCTCAATTGTTATTTAGGTTCTTCAATTTAGAATATGTATGAATAAACACTTTAATTTGTATAAAATTAAATTAATAAATATATATATCCTACTTGAAATAACACACACGATGACACAGAACGTCATACAAACACGAATATCTACTTATATATATAATTAAAAAATATAAATATTCATTAAGATAAAATTAAACGGTACATTTATATATCATATCAAAATTTGGTTATTTGATGTACGTGCCTATATAGAGTTTAACTTTATATGGCCGCCAGTGAGATAATTTTGGTGGCTAAAAAAAAAAAATTCATAAAAAAGAGATTTTTATCTTGAAAATAAAATATACTGAATAATTTAATAGTATGAAAAAAATTTAATGTCAATTTTATTTAGTATGATTTGGTATTCATAAAGTTCGATTTTGTTATTTTACAGTATGATAAATTGAGATTTATAATTTATTCGTCATATAATAAAGAATTTGTGACTTTGATTTTTAAGAATTTCTAAATTATATCATACTAACACCTTAACCATATAAAAATATTTAAAATTAAAGAAACTAAGAAAGTACAAACAATTTTCTTTGTTACTTAATTACACGAAAAAGGATACTCTAATCAAAATAAGATAGCCAAATTTCCAATGTTTAAACCATTATTAAAAAAATGGACCACCTCCGATAATTAACCCTTTAACTCTATTTTTTAGTACCATTTAAACACAAAATACCGATTTATGATTTCTTAATTTTATTTATGTTCTTCATTACAATTAAGCAGAATCGTCTCGACCATAAGACCACTAAAGCACAAACACTTGGGACCCTAAATATTTTAGGGCCCCAAATTTATATATATATATATATATATATATATATATATATATATATATATATATATATATATTACTCTTATAGTTACCTTTTTTATTTCCCTTTCTATTTTTTCTCTCATTATTGAATATTTTAAAGTCTATTAAATAGTAAAACCTAGTTATGAATTTTGGCCTTTAGGCCCTACAATTAAGTATATTTATAGCCTAACATCAAACACTTATCTATAAATATCTTTTGGACGATCAAATCTTTTATGTTATTGGTTGATAGTTATAGAATTAAAAGTTAGATAAGTAAAAATAAAAAATACTATGTTGGTTGTTATTGATTGATTATATGTCCAAGGATGATGTCAATGAAACGATAATTGGAATTTGTGTGGACAAAATTTGTAGAATAAATTATTGGATATATTAGATATTGTCATAGACTGTAACATGACTTCGACTTTATGGTTATCTTTAATTATTTCCCTACCTATCATGAACACATTTGAAATAAACTGATGAATTGGATGTGGCATCGATTGGCTCACATATTAGTTATACATATAAATTATGATGCAAGATATTGTATACGATGAATGATATTAATGAATAGATTATTACGCGATGAATAATAATGCATGGATTTTATTGCTTCTGCGGTTAGACATTGTTACAGGGAAGTCAATCAAGTTGCAGATGCCTTGGCAAAATGGAGTTAGTATTACAAATGAGGAGTTGTTTATTTTTATACATGCTCACCTACTATTGATAGCCATCAGACCTTATAAACTTGATCTCATACAAATGGAGTCCCTAAGGCATAAGCAGAGGAAGAATTATTTTGTATAGAACTGATCCAGTTGAGATATTATAGCTAATTTTGTCTAGCACATTGGACTTGTAAATTTGTGCAAAATTTGTATAGTTTTTGTCAGAACTTTAGTTTTTGTGAACCAGCTACTGGAATGGGTCGAGCTTAAGCTCCACGTAGCTTTGTAATTTTATTCATTAATATAGAGGTCTCACCACTATACCGTAATAAATTATTATTATTATTATTAGTATTATTATTATTATTATTTTAGAAAGGCACATAGTTTTTTTTTTATAAAAAAAATGCATGGATTTTATTAGACTGTGAATATATAATGGTACATGGGATGTTAACAATGTTATATAATGCATATGCTTAGTTGATTACTTAGAGTCTACTCGGGTGAATTTAATTATAACTTATCACTTATAGGTTAAAAGTTATAAATTAAAGATTCTTCACGTGGAGGGTATTTTTTTATCTTAAAAGTTATAAGTTGAGATTTTTCATGTGGAGGGTATTTTTTTATCTTAAAAGTTGATAAGATTAGGAAAAACATAGTTCTTGGCCTCTTATTGTTTCAAAAATCACAAGAAGACATTCTTGGAAAATGATTTTGAATTTTTTAGCGTAAATTTTAATCGAAAAATAAGAAAGTTAAAAGGACAATTAATGAGGAAAAGGTAAAAAATAGTTATTACTGGGGAGAAAAGGAGCAATAAAGGGAGGCCAATTTAGAAAAATTAACAAAGACACTTTTTAATTTTCTTTGTAGAGAACATAAAGTGAAACAAATGAGGAAAATCCAAAAATATTAGGCAAAACATAGTACTTGACCGGCAAGATATGTCACATTATCTCTTCATAGACCTAAATTATATAATATATTCTTTAGAAATGATTTATTCAGAATTCAGACATTGTTTAAAATTAAGAATTTATAAATTCAAAATTTTAGCTTGATTTATCTCTATCTCCCTTATTAAAGAAATGGACTTTGAGTCTTATTTAACATCATAAGTTAATTTATTCAAAATGTGAGGATCGTTTATAATTATATAAAGAATTTAAGTGCATTCTCAACGTTAAGTAAATAATTAACTGGGACGGGCCTATACGATATTAAATAAATAATTCTTAAATCTATTTCAACCCTAAAAGTTTACTTAAAAAATGAGAATTTCTCAAGATTATATAAAGAATTTAAATACACGCTAACCCACGAATTTGAGACTATAATATCCTTTAAATAAATTATATAAACCACATAAATTTGAATTAATTGAATAAATATATTTCGTACCACAACCGACTAAAAAAAAAAAAAAACGACAATACTTGTCTGGGGAAAAATAATAATGTACGATGAGTAGTCATTTTCAAATTTCTTAGTACATTATTTTTCAAAAGTAAATCAACTTGAAGAGTATATATTAATTATTATTTCTTTGAAAACATGTCTTGATAGAGACGAATTATAATTTTTAAAATGTGGATGTATCATTAAAAAATTTAGTAAATGAGAATTAACCCCTAGTATATTTAAGATAAGTTATTTAGCCTTCTTATAATATAGCATCATCAAAAAAAAAATTCAATTTATATATATATATATATATAATTTTATTAAAAAATACGAATTCAAGTATCTCATATTTTAGGTATAAATTCACCTATGCTTGTAGTATATACATAGGCCTTCCTATCAAAAACCTAGCATTATCTTCATGAAATATATATATATATAATAAAATAATTGTTTGGCACATGTGTTACTTATGCTGATGTTATCCTTGCCAGGGTGTCTAGTTTATGAATTTTTTATTTTTGAATATTGCTAGAAATTATGGAAAGTTGAGGAATAATTAATTTTAGAATATATTTATCACATATTTAATTGGAATAAACTCGCAGAATTACTTATTACGTATTTATAGTGTTATTTTATTTCAATGTGATAATAATTCTATAATAATTAATCTCATAATAACTTGTTCTCCGACCAAACGAGCCTTTTTATCCGGCTCTCATATTCCATTAGGTCCCAAATGGAGGCCATTTCTTGTCTGGTCTTCTTGTCGTTTCCACATCATTTTAATAATATCTTGAGATATATTTTTAATTTTTTAGGGAGGAGATAAAATATCAAATCTATTGTGATTGTGAAATATATCTTTAATTTATCAAATTAAATTTTAGGCAAAAAAGAAAAAAGAAAAAAGAAAAAGGAAGTTAATAAAGAGACCTTTTAAAAAATTTCTTTATAGATAACATAAAGTGAAACAAATGAGGGAAAATAAAAAAAAATTTAGGAAAAACAAAAAACTTGACATATGAGACATGTCACATCATCTCTCCACAAATATGAATTATATAATATATAGATTTTTTTTAGAAATTCATTTACGCTTCAAAGCGACAAATAATTGACATGATTTTTCATAATTAGCTTTCGTCCATGCTGAAATTTCTTCACTTTTGAGTATAGTCCTTTCACAAGCCTCTTTTGCTATTTCACTTCCAAAATGATTGATTAAAAGTCCTTCTAAAACAGCTCTTAGGTTTATCATTAAAGTCTTTGCATCAGCCTCATCCACAAGCTTTGATTGAGGATATGTTAACTCTATTTTCTCAATGCTAAAACAATCATTTTTCTCCACCACTTTAGTCATGTCTTCAACAGATGGAAAATACATTGGCAAATTGAATGAGTCAACTAAAGACTCATCTAACTTTCCCTCAATTACATTTATTACTTATTTATGTTTAATGAAATTCTGAACATATATACAAGGTATGAGCCAAATATATACTTACAAACTTATCTTCTAAAATATGTCACGACTTAGCATACTAGTTACGGTGTAAGATGAAAAGATAATAACTTGATGTGAGATATGTTATTTATACATTTTAAATGAATTTCTTATCACAAATATAATATCGAATCTGAGCCAATGTTATGTCGAACCCATAACTTTAATATAATGGCAAGTCGACCCTTGCCTTTAGGTTAGCCTATGGAGTAATTTTTTTAAAAAGTGACGATATATATAACTTAAACTCAAAATATTTACTTACCTCATTCACCAAATCCGTAAGACTAGTGCCAAAGAATTTCATGAGACGTACATAACTTGAAAATGGTGTAATAAGCACTATCATTCCTCCATGAACAATTTCCTCAGCTCTATTGAATACATACTTTAATTTTTAGAACTACATGGTGCACTTTCTCTTCATGGAATCACAAATTTTCTCATTCAAACTACATAACAAGTAATTTTTTTTTATATTTACAAAGCTGTTTAATTCGCTATGTAAAGCATAATATAAGATATTAGCAAGGATAAGCAATGTTATTATTACTCACTTTAATTTCAAAGTAGGAAAAGTCATCGAGTACATTATAAAATTTTATTGAGTATCTTAGTATAATTGTTATTGTGTATGGACTCTTCAAACTTCAAAATCATGTTACAGTTGAAATTGGGATAAGTGTAAACAAGTTTGTAACATAAGAAGAGAAAAAAATATCTCCAATAGTCCAATAACCAAAAGTTATAATCCACACATTTATTCATTCATTATTATTCATTGTACAAAAATAAGCATGCATTATAAATAGTATGTATGATAACTAGTATGTGAACCAAATAAGTCGGTAAATGGAAACGCTCCACACAATATGCATGTCACATCTAATTGTCTAAAATTAGGAAATATCCAATCATAGCACTACAAAGGAATCTCAATTACCAACAAAAAAATTCGTTGGTAAATTGATCAAATTGGTTGGCAAATTGAGTTACTAACCAAATGCCAACTTATATTAATCCGTTGCTAAAAGGCTCGTCGGTAAATATTACCAACCGATTTTAATTTGTTGGTAAACTTACCAACCAAAATTCAGTTGGTAAACACCCAAAGATGTTCTTACAAAATTTTGAAACATGGCCCTGAAATTTCCGTTGGTAAATTCACCAACTAATTTTTGGTTAGTATATCGTTAGTACCTTTACTAAAGAATTGAAAAGGAGTTAGTAAATTTTTTTCTTCATTATTCGATTCCGTTGGTAATACGTCGGTAATTATAGTAAATTTATTGTCACGACCCAAGCCTAGGGCCTAGACGTGACATGGCGAATGAGGAACCCGAAGGAACCCCAAACAAGCCTCTCAAACTTGTCATCACACTTCATCGGTCGCGGAAGTACATTCAACATTAATTAACGGGAAATAGGGACTAAGGGCAAACCATTTCAAAATGACATCATAGAACAAGAGTCAAGCTCATTTACAAAATACTTGTCCAACGCACACCTCTACATACATAGATAGGACGGGGCCATGACATACTACCGGCTCCCCTCATAGTCAAAATACAATTGCAAGCTAAAGTCTCAAAACATAGGAGTAGGAAACATAACATAGCCCTTGAATCATTGAGGACTAACCAACAACTCGGATAAGCACCGTACTAGCCACGTGAATGGAGAGAAGGATCAAGAGTAGCTCCGGTCCCTACATGGTGACATCATGTAGGCAAAATATGCGTTAGTACTTGGAATGTACTAAGTATGCGGGGTGCAACACAACAATAGACAAGGACACAATCGAAATACAAGAAATAGTTTCATAGGCATTATGAATAACAATATGAGGATGCATGATCAAAGTGAAGTCAAAACATGTTTAAGTAAATCTATACTAATAGTAGATATCATATGTGTATGCATGATCCAACCAATCTATAACCCCAACTTAGGATGGGGGATGTCGTACAGACCCGGACACCCTGGTGGCAAGGTATAAACCCCTCACATGGTTGATGTTGGTCACACCCCAAGCATCCTAGGTGGTGAGATATAAACCTCTCACATGGTTGATGTTGGTCACACCCCAAGCATCCTAGGTGGTGAGATATAAACCTCTCACATGGTTGTTCAGTTCTTTTCCCCCGGACCGGGCATGGTCATGCAACACTTTATATAGGAAATTCCCATTAGGCTCTAATGCAATCTCACGTATGGAATGAACATATACACAAGCTTAGTTTGTCATCAACACATCTCTGGATTTCCATACATCTCATAGCTCAAGCTTTAAAGCATCGATTCATCAATTCTCCATAGTTAGACATTTTGTCAAACACCTTGAAGGCATGTAATGGAATCAAAGAACATGGAAAATAGGGTAGTAATTATGCAGCCAAACCAGTGAACAACCTACAACAACACCTTTTTAACACCCACAATACCACATGAAAATCTCCACATCCATTCCAAATTTAGGTTCAAGTTCTAGAGTCACAACATGCTCAAAACAATCACTTTTCATGTTTAAAATTCAATGTGCAGGAAATTATTACAAAGAACAAGACTAATTTATGAATCTTAACTTAAACCATGAATTAGTGAGTAGAATAGAGTCTAGGCACTATGGGTGGAAGGACCCATGAGTTCAACACCACATACCTTGAGTTTTTATGAAGGTCTTGAGAGTGTCTTCAATGGAAGCTTGGAACTTGGAGCAAGAGTCTCTTCAATCTTGAGGAAGGTTTTGGATTAGGGTTCTTGAGAGAACTTGAGAGAAAATGTGTCAAAGTATGGGAGAGGTGTTTTGGGAAATGTTTTAGAGATGGGAATTGAACTAATGGTATATAGGAAATAACATATGCCCTTTGGAAAAATGGTCCAACACTTAGAAAAAAAATGAGGCGGGTGAACAGTAAAAATGCTCACTGGAAATTGTCTTTCTTGCCGGACAGATTTTACGAAAATGGGCATAACTTCTTCGTCCGAACTCCGAATGAGGTGAAACGAAGTGCGTTAGGTAGCTAACTCAAAGGGCTTTCCATGGATATGTTATTGGCCACCCAATAATTTGTGTGCTAGGAGATATGACCCTCCAAATTAGACCCTCAAAAAAGGCTTCACTTGGAAATTTCGGATTTTGATACGGTTGCTCTAAAATTTGGGTTAGACCCATTTCCCACTCAATTTGACCCCCTAAACAAGAATATGAAGTCGGATTTTTGAAAAACGAAACGGATTTTTTTTTTATATAGCTAAACAAGTTTCCGGTAACTTCCGAAGCACATTTTTAAGAACTTTTTGGGTCATTTCATTTATGTTGGTAATTTACCAATAAATTTTAAATACTTTTTTTTTTTGGTTTCCCATCCGGTGTCCGGTACCCACACCGCAACCCGACTAAATTCGAATTCACGCCGGGAAGTCCCACACCGCAGCCAGACTAAATCTGGATTCACGCCGGGAAGTCCCACATTGGGGAGTTATAAAGCGCTCCCTAACAAAGGCGACTCCGTACCCAAGGGGAATCGAACCTCAGACCTCTTGGTTAAGGATGAAGGAGTACTTACCACTCCACAACAACCCTTGTTGGTAATACATTTTAAATACGTTAGTGTGGTTATTTGTTTTTCTAATAAATTTACTAATATTGTTAGTTTGTTGGTAATATATCATTCAAGGCGACTCCGTACCCAAGGGGAATTGAACCTGAGATCTCTTGGTTAAGGATGAAGGAGTACTTACCACTCCACCACAACCCTTGTTGGTAATAAATTTTAAAAACGTTAGTATGATTTTTTGTTTTTCTAATAAATTTACTAATTGATTGTTAGTTTGTTGGTAATATATCATTCAATTAAGTTCAATGTTAGGTTAGTAATTGATTGACAATATGTTCAAAATATCATTAACTGAATGATTATCCAATAGTAAAATATTTATGGGAAAATTATAGAAATCACATACTTTTAAGGCAAAATTACAATTTATCCCTTAAAAGTTTATAATTACAGAAATCTCTCAAACGGATACAATAATATAAGCGTTGATACATTAATCAGATGCGCGAGATACATTAATCGTTAAGTAAGATACATTACATTTTATACATATTGATACACTAATCTGATGTACATTTTATACATGATACACTAATCTGATGAGCGAGATACACTAATCTGATGTGCTGATACATTAATCTGATGCGCGAGATACACTAATCTGATGCATGAAAATGAAGGATTTTGGAGATTTGTAAAACTTATAGGGGATAATGGTAATAAGTAAACTAAAAGGTGGGATTTCTGTAATTTTTCCAATATTTATTAATTTATTGCATTTAAAAATCTAAGAGCACGAATATAAATAAAAAAATATTAATATCAATTTTATAAATCATATTTGAATGAAACAATGTAAAATCTATGATAACAAGTTAAATTAATCTCAATATGACACATATTATTATATCAAAATTTTTAATTTGAGCACGTTTACCAAAAATATTGACCAAATCTAAATTTTGGCCAAAATTTAAAAGTTAAAATGCCTAACAACAGAAACTGAAAATGGAAGCCTCAAAACCTGAACCAACCATCCTATTAGATATAAAAATGACCTTCCAAAGCTAATCGTGCCGACGAAATTCTCATCAGAGCACGTTTACAAAAAATGTTAAGCAAAGTCAAATTTTGGCCAAAAGTTAAAAGTTAAAACGCCTAACGGTACAAACTGAATATGAAAAGCTCAAAATCCAAACCAATCATCTTGTAGGACGAAAAATGACCTTCCAGAGCTAACCGCGCTGACGAAATTCAAATTTGAGCATGTTTCCCAAAATAATTGACCTAATTCAAATTTTAGCCAAAAGTTAAAAGTTAAAAAGCTTAACGACACAAACTGAAAATAAAAGTCTCAAAATCCGAACCAACCATCCTATGAGACCAAAACTGAACTTATATGGCTAACCGCGGTGACAAAATTTCAATTCGAGCACGATTACCAAAAATATTGACGAAAGTGAAATTTTGGACAAAACTTAAAAGTTAAAATGCCTAACGACACAAACTAAAAATGGAAGCCTCAAAACCCGAACCCTCTATCTTATTACATCAAAAATGACCTTTCGCATCTAATTGCACTGACGAAATTCTCATCTTAGCACGTTTATCAAATATATTGACCGAAGTTAAATTTTGGCCAAAATTTATAAGTTAAAACACCTAACGGCACACACTAAAAATGAAAGCCTCAAAACCCGAACCAACCATCCTATTAGATAAAAAATTACCTTTGGAGTTAATTACCCTGATAGAATTCTCATCTGAGCACGTTCACAAAAATATTGACCAAAGTCAAATTTTGGCCAAAACATAAGATTTAAAACACCTAACGGCACAAAAAAAAAATGGAAGCCTCAAAACTTGAACCAACCTTTCTGTTAGATCAAAAATGACCTTCCGAAGCTAATGACACTGACAGAGTTCTAATCTGAGCACGTTTACCAAAAATATTGACCAAAGTCAATTTTTGTCTAAAATTTAAAAGTTAAAACACCTAACGACACAAACTGAATATGAAAGCCTCAACACTAGACATTGTTTTACCAAAAAGTTTAACTTTAATTGATAAATTTACCAACTATTCAAATATAAGTTATAATTAATAATTTACCAATAAATTTTATCACATTTGGTAATAGTTACTATTCAACTAAACATTCATATGTAATATTATCTGTAACACCCCAGAGAATTTTTCGAACTAAGACTCGAGCCGTCCTTCATGTGGAGTGGGATTTTACCGAGGAATAAAAAATTTCTTGAGTGTTAAGTTAAGGTCCCTAGGTGTAGCACATTGAGTTCCAAGAAGAGTTGAATTGGAAATAGTCATTTTGGAAAGAATTTGGAAAATTTGGCTATGGAAAAAAAAGTGAGTTTTTGGTCAACTTTGAGCAGTCGTATCTCCTAGCTCAAAATGATTTAGGCGAATTTCCAGTTATGTCTGGAAAGCCCTTGGAATGATCTTTCCAACGCCGCCGAGTTTGCCTGATTCCGAGTTCGTATGAGTGACTTATGCCCTTTGGAAGTTGGGTTGTTGGCACAGTCGCACAGTGCAGTTTGTTTAGTCCGAAAATTTTAAGGGTATTTTGGTCTTTTCCCTAATCTTTTCTTTGGGTTATATTGAGGTGTTAGACTGATGTTTGGATCATTTTTGTCCCATTTTAAAGAGTGAGAGTAAGAGTGAGAGTTAGGGCTTGGAAGATAAGAGAGAAAGAAGAGGAAAACAAGAGGAGAAAGAGAAGAAGAAGCTAAGGATCGTCGTGGATTTTTGTCGGGGGTGATCCCTAATCAGGTATGTGAGTCTTTAGTGTGGGTTTATCCTTTCCCCCCACATACCAAGCTCGTTTTTATGATTTGAGAAGAGATTGGATTTGTTGTTGAAGTTGTTAGTTGTTGTTGATGTTGTTAGTTGTGTTGTTGAAGTTATTGTTGGTTGTGGGACAGGATTGGGCTGTGTATTTGAGTTGTGACCTATTGTATATTGAGGGATTTTATGATCCTTAGTGTTGGTTGGTTCATACCCCCACACACCAACTCGTTTTTAATTCCAAGAGAAGATTTATTGGTTGTTGAAGTTGTAGTGGTGTTGTGTTGAAGTTCTTGCTGATTTAGTACAGATTTCTGGCTGTGATTTTTGAGTTGAATCTATTGTATAATAAGGGTCTTTATGATTCTAAGTGTTGCTGCTGAAACCTTGAGGTTGAGAGGGTTTAGAATTGGAAAGAAACAAGGGGAAAAAGTCGGATTTTTGGGGAAAAAGGGGCTGGGCTGTTGCACCTCTCCTAGTGCCAAGGACACCAATCCTTCCCTTTCATTCACCATTTCTTTTTTTATACATGTTCCTAGGTATTATACCTATGTTTCCTAGTTGTTTCCAACACTCCAAGGTACTTCCAAAAGTCAAGTAAAACTACAAGTCAAGTGAAGTTAGTTTCAAAGTCAAGTGAAGTTAGTTTCAAAGTCAAGTGAAGTTAGTTTCCAAATCAAGTGAAGTTAGTTTCCAAGTCAAGTGAAGTTAGTTTCAAAGTCAAATGAAGTTAGTTTCCAAGTCAAGTGAAGTTAGTTTCAAAGTCAAGTGAAGTTAGTTTCCAAGTCAAGTGAAGTCAAGCTTAGAAGTAAGTAAGTCAAAACAAGTCTTTAAGGTTTTCCAAGAGTCTTCATTGATCGTTTTAACTTCATTTTAAGGCTCAAGTTAAGTAAAGAATGAAGAGTTCCAAGTTAAGAGTTTCAAGTTGAGTAAAGAGTTTCAAGTTGAGTCAAAGTATCGAGTTTCAAGTAAAGTAAAGAGTAAAGAGTTGAGTTCATTTCTCAAAGTTATTAGGGAACTATGTATTCCCAAAGAAGTTTTAAAGAAATGTTTTTACATTTAAACAAGGTTGGAAACTGAGATTTCCAAAAGAGCCTTCGGGCTAGTTTTTGAGTAATTATCTCATATCAGCAGGAATAAATATGTTTTAAAAACATAAGAGCCAGTACATTTTTGGGAGTAGTATCGAGCACCGAATTGGGGGAGCGTTCAAAGAACCCACAGCCCCCATAGAACCATGTTAGCCACCATGGGTAGAAAAGGATCATACTTTTTAGATGAATCCTTTTCAGATTAGACTAGTGGATCCATTAGGCAGTTCAGGTCTTATACCTTTGGCCGGGTATAAGATGCTCTGGCAGCGTGAGGTCGATCGCTGTATCATCACTATAGCTCTTATGTGATGGTTGTCGGTTAGAGAAACTCCCACAGCAGTTATTGTATTTTCATACACAGAAATTATTGTATTTTATATACATCAGTTCAATTGTATTTTTATATACATCTCAGGCTTATTGTATCCTTGTATACACTCAGAGTTTATAGCATGTTTTAAACAGTCTTTCTTTATATCGCACTTGTTTTAAATTGCCTTATATTGAAAGAAGTCAGTCAGGTTGAGTTCAGTTATTCAAGAGTCGAGTATCCTTGAGTTAAGTATCTTTGAGTTAAGTATATATCTTGAGTTAAGTATATATCCTTGAGTTGAGTATCTATCTTGAGTTGAGTATCTATCTTTGAGTTGAGTATCTATCTTTGAGTTGAGTATCTGTCTCTGAGTCCAGTATCTATCTTCTGAGTTGAGTAAGTTTGAGTAGTTTTGGGTATTCCTTGAGTTGAGAAAGTTTGAAAATAGGTAAGTTATTCAATTTATTCCAGTTTTTCTTCTAGCCTATGTTGTTTAGCTTTCTAGCTTACATACTCGTACATTCCACGTACTGAGCCATTTGGCCTGCATCTTTTTATGATGTAGACACAGGTATTCAGGATCATCAACAGGAGATTCGTTGATACATCCGGGAGTTCCAGTTAGCTATGACAAGCCTCTTTGCTTCCGGAGGATTTCATTTACCTTTCAGTTGTATCAGTTGTTAGGAGGTCGTGGGTCTTGTCCCGGCTTCCATCTTTATCAGTTAGAGGCTTCATAGATAGACAATAGAGTTTCAGAAGTCTCTTCATTTATTTTGTTAAATGTTTTGAAGACTAAAGTTGCCTTTTATGGCGAGTTGTATATATATTCTATTATACAGAGTTTTCTTTTGAGTTAAAGATTTATAAAGTTGAGTTTATAAACTCTTATTCAGTTTTAAGCTCTTGTATGCTTAAGTTAGTATTCCGCTTGGAGTCAGCCAGGATGAGGGTTCGCTTGGGGACCAGAAATGGTCTTCGAGTGCCGGCCACGTCCAGGGTGTAGGCTCGGGGCGTGACAATGAGTTTTGCGAAAGAGTTTCTAAAACATGATTAGTATGAAAAATCGAGTATGTCATCAATGTTTAAACAATATGGTCTCTAGATATACCATCAATGTTTAAGAAGAATGAATATCCCGAGTCATCAATGATCATATTAAAAATATGGTTTTGATTTGTTGTTTTTAGAAAGAGTTTTCAAGAGCCTTTGGGCTAAGTTTTGAGTAATTATCTCAACTAAAGAAATATGTGTTTAAAACACTAATGAGCTAAAGTATTTTTGGGAGTAGTCTTGAGCACCGAATTGGGGACACGAGTTCATATTAACTCAACTCTCCCTAAGAGCCATGTAGCCAAACATGGGATTTCTCGGATCATACTTTTTAGATGATCACGAAAGTTAACGGCTAGGGGGTGCTCTCGGGTCGATACACTCCTTTACACCATCTATTATTTCTTTCTGCGTGCAATTATAACAATAAAGTCACGTTGATAGAAAAGTTTCAGTTACTTTAGTATGATAACAAAAATATTTATTGATGTTTGTGTAACAACGGATAAAGTTACTTATGTTACTATTATAGTGTGTAAAATATAATCAATTTAGTGTGATATATAGTCGTGTTTAACTGTCATAGTGGATAAGTCGGTAACTATACACATATAATTGGTGTATGGCTTGTTTGTATAGCATGCCAAAAGTTTTAGCTAATAGCATAGACACGACTTTATTTCTTAACTAAATCCAAGCAAACATCACGTTCTATCATGACTCCAATTGAGGCCACCCTAGCCCACTCGTGGGCCTCACCATAGGCAAGATGTTGGTATTACCCAACAATCCTCCTCCCAACACCTGCCTTATGCATCTTTTTGCTCTTGAAAATCGAATCATATGATCTTGGCTGATACCACTTGTAAGAATCTAGCGCTTACCACCATGACAAAAATTATAGCTAATATCAAGGGCACAACTTTATTTCTTAATGAATTCCATCAATTAAGCTCCAATTTTCAATCATAAATCCAATCTGGCCAACCCAACCCCCTCATGGTCCTCGCCACAAGAAGAAAATTGACATTATCCAACATAATGCTTGATGAATTCTTGATTGAGTTTAACATTTACACTCACAAACTAATTTTTGTACAAGAAAATATGCTTGATATAAGTTGGATTAAAAACAAAAATTAGATAATTTGTTATAATATGTTAAACTAATATATATGAGATCAATACCTGCAAATGGGAGTTTTTGGAGTAGCTATAAAAACCATCACCAGCATTCATGGGGAAAGATCTTGTCATTTTGGCTTAATGTGTTTTCTCATTCACTCATAATGTGATCTTATATAGGTGGATTTTGCACTGTTTAACTCCATGTCACATGAATATATAGTTACATCGGATACATAACTATGAACATAATTCATAATGAGAATTGAAAGGGATGTGTCACGCCCCGTGCCTACACCCTGGACGTGGCCGGCACTCGAAGACCATTGCTGGCCAACAAGCGAACCATTGGCCTGGCTTTCCTAACTCAGCGGAAACTTAACTCAACAACAATTCAATGCAATGCAAGGTTATAAAACAACCTAACTGATAAAAATCTGGCCAAAATGGTAACTTGAGTCCCAAAGTCGAATATTTACATATATACATAGATGAGAGACTCAAAACCAACTGAATGACTGTCTATCAAGCATCTATAATACTGAGATGAATGTTGGGACAGACCCCACAACATCCTAATAAAATAAAACTAAGAGAACAAAATAATCGAGTCATCCGGAATGCAAAGAGGCTCACCACTGACTCTGAAGTACTCAACTGGATCAACGGCGAACCGAATGCTGGCCCTGGGTACCTTTGTCTGCATCATAATAAGATGCAAGCCAACTGACATCAGTACATTGAATGTACGAGTATGCGAGCTGGAAAGCTAAATCACAACTTAAGCTTGGGAGGAGTACAAATGAACTCTTACCTTGGCTCTGTTCAACTCATGAATAACTGAACTCAATATATAAAGCAATAAGACACATGCAATATATAAAGCTTGTAAAATAGTGTAAACAACTTATCTTGTTAAAGATAAAACAATAACAACTCAACTTGACTTATATAAAAGTAATATAACTTTAGTGGGATTTTCTTTAACCGACAATAACCACTATGAGCCCTAGTGGTGATACAACATTTTACCTCACGTTGCCCAAGCACCATCCTATACCTTGCCGTGATATAGGAAGCTATCTTTACTAAGTGCATCCACTAGCTTAACTTTACAGATTCATCTAAAAAGTATGACCCGTTAACTCCCATGTTGGTGCATGGTTCTTATGGAGAGTTGAGTTTATATGAACTCGTGTCCCCAATTCGGTGCTCAAGACTACTCCCAAAAATACTTTAGCTCATAAGTGTTTTAAACACATCTTTCTTTATTTGAGATAATTACTCAAAACTTTGCCCGAAAGCTCACTTGGAAACAATGTTCCTTTTTCTTGGAAACTAGCCCAGAGGCTCTTTTGGAATCATAGTTCCTTTCTTACTCAAATGTAAAAACATTTGGAAACTTCTTTGGGAATACATAGTTCCCTAATAACTTTTGAGAAATGAACTCAACTTTAAACTCTTGACTTAACTTGAAACTTGAGCCTTAAAATGAAGTTAAAACATTCAACAAAGACTCTTGGAAAGCTTTAAAGACTTGTTTTGAGTCCCTTCTTTAACTTCTAACTCAACTCTTAACTTCACTTGACTTGGAAACTAACTCTCCTTAAATTTGAATCATTAATTCAAGGTGTTTGATCACATGTTATGGACTAGTTCTTGACGTTTAAACGTACCTTGGAGTGTTGGAAACAACTAGGGAACATAGGTACAACACCTAGGAACATGTATGAGAAAGTGGAGAAAGAATGGGAAAACTTAGCTCTCTTGGCGCTCTGAGAGGCGCGGAGCGCCAAACCAAAAACTTCAGAGGGGACCTTCTGGCTCACTATGCAAGGTTATAAAACAACCTAACTGATAAAAATCTGGCCAAAAAGGCAACTCGAGTCCCAAAATCGAATATTTACATATATACATAGATGAGAGACTCAAAACCAACTGACTGACTGTCTATGAAGCCTCTATAATACTGAGATGAATGTTAGGACAGACCCCACAATATCCTAATAAAACAAAACTAAGAGAACAAAATAATCGAGTCCTCCGGAATGCAAAGAGGCTCACCATTGACTATGAAGTAATCAACTGGATCAACGGTGAACCGGATGCTGGCCCTGGGTACCTATGTCTGCATCATAATAAGATGCAGGCCAACTGGCATCAGTACATTGAATGTACGAGTATGCGAGCTGGAAAGCTAAACCACAACTTAAGCTTGGGAGAAGTACAAAAGAACTCTTACCTTGGCTCTGTTCAACTCATGAATAACTGAACTCAATATATAAAGCAATAAGACACATGCAATATATAAAGCTTGTAAAATAGTGTAAACAACTTAGCTTGTTAAAGATAAAACAATAACAACTCAACTTTACTTATATAAAAGTAATATAACTTTAGTGGGAGATTCTTTAACCGACAATCACCACTATGAGCCCTAGTGGTAATACAACGTTTTACCTCACGTTGCCCAAGGACCATCATATACCTTGCCGTGATATAGGAAGCTATCTTTACTAAGTGCATCCACTAGCTTAACTTTACGGATTCATCTAAAAAGTATGACCCGTTAACTCCCTTGTTGGCGCATGGTTCTTATGGAGAGTTGAGTTTATATGAACTCGTGTCCCCAATTCGGTGCTCAAGACTACTCCCAAAAATGCTTTAGCTCATAAGTGTTTTAAACACATCTTTCTTTATTTGAGATAATTACTCAAAACTTTGCCCAAAGGCTCACTTGGAAACAATGTTCCTTTTTCTTGAAAACTAGCCCAAAGGCTCTTTTGGAATCATAGTTCCTTTCTTACTCAAATGTAAAAACATTTGGAAACTTCTTTGGGAATACATAGTTCCCTAATAACTTTTAAGAAATGAACTCAACTTTAAACTCTTGACTTAACTTGAAACTTGATCCTTAAAATGAAGTTAAAACATTCAACAAAGACTCTTGGAAAGCTTTAAAGACTTGATTTGACTCCCTTCTTTAACTTCTAACTCAACTCTTAACTTCACTTGACTTGGAAACTAACTCTCCTTGAATTGGAATCATTAATTCAAGGTGTTTGATCACGTGTTATGGACGAGTTCTTGACGTTTAAACGTACCTTGGAGTGTTGGAAACAACTAGGGAACATAGGTACAACACCTAGGAACATGTATGAGAAAGTGGGGAAAGAATGGGAAAACTTGGCGCTCTTGGTGCTCTGAGAGGCGCGGAGCGCCAAACCAAAAACTTCAGAGGGGACCTGCTGGCGCACTGAGGGGCGTGCCGCCCCAAGGGGGAAAGTTCAGAACCCCTCTTGGGGCGCGCTGACAGGCACGACGCCCCACTCTTTTTCCCCGAAAACCAACTTTTCTCCTTAGTTTTCTCCAACTCTAAACCTTCTACACATCAAAGTTTCCAGCCCCAAGCACTTAAAATCATAAACCTCTCAACATACAATAGATTCAACTCAAAAACACCAACGGAAACATACACCAAACCAACAAGAACTACAACACAACACAACTACAACTTCAACAATTCCAACCAACAACTTCAATCAAACATAATCAATCTTTTCTCGAAATTAAACGAGCTTGGCGTGTGGGGGAAAGAACCAACCCAACACTTTGAACTCACATACCTTAATAGGGATCACTCCCGAAGAAAAACCACGACGATCTTTATAAGTTTGCTTCTTCTTCTCCTTTCTCTCCTTTTCTCTCAAGAACCCTAACTCTTACTCTTTTTAAAAAAAAGAAAAACTGATCAAAAATCAGTCTTACACCTTAATATATATCCAAAGACAAGGCTAGGGAAAATACCAAAATACCCTTACAATTTCCGGACGGATTCCCTGTCAACTGCCCAACTTTCAAAGGGCATAACTCGCTCATACGAACTCAGAAACAAGCAAACTCGATGGCGTTGGAAAGACCAATCCACGAACTTTGCAACCATAACTGGAACCACACCTAGATCATCCTGAGCTAGGAGTTATAACTGTTCAAAGTTGGCCAAAAATTCATTATTTCCAATACTTAGCCAAATTTTCCAGATTTTTAATTCTTTCCAAAAAGACTATTTCCAAGTTTTTTAAGCTTCTTCCTAGTCCCCAACTTGCAAGATGTCACAGGATGTATCTGAGAGTGGATTGTTGTAATTTTTTAAAATGATAGTAAATTTTAAAAAGTATAATATATTAAATTGTATATTTATATAATTTTTCTAATTAATAAAATATTGAAAACAGAAATTTCGTTCAAGTAATTAACTAATTTCATGTACTGTTGTTATTCGTTATATAACAATTCTTACATTATTATTCATCACATAATAAATCATTCATTGTCAAAAATATGACTAAAAATAAATTGAAAAATCCTATTCATCATGTCAAATTTATGATAAGTGCAAAAAAGTTGTAAAAGAGAAGAAACCAAATAATAATGTTATTGTCCACCCAATTCAAAATAAAAGGAAAGGTATAATATATAAGCGTATTTTTTTTTAATTTTCCCTCAATTGTTATTTAGGTTCTTCAATTTAGAATATGTATGAATAAACACTTTAATTTGTATAAAACTAAATTAATAAATATATATACCCTACTTGAAATAACACACGGTGACACAGAACGTCATACAAACACAAATATCTACTTATATATATAATTAAAAAATATAAATATTCATTAAGATCAAATTAAGCAGTATATTTATATATCATGTCAAAATTTGGCTATTTGATGCACGTGCCTATATAGAGTTTAACTTTATATTGCCGCCAGTGAGATAATTTTGGTGGCTAAAAAAAAAATTCATAAAAAAGAGATTTTTATCTTGAAAATAAAATATACCGAACAATTTAATAGTATGAAAATTTTCTAATGTCAATTTTATTTAGTATGATTTGGTACTCATAAAGTTTGATTTTGTTATTTTACAGTATGATAAATTAAAAATTATAATTTGTTCGTCATATAATAAAGAATTTGTGACTTTGATTTTTAAGAATTTCTAAATTATATCATACTAACACCTTAACCATATAAAAATATTTAAAATTAAAGAAACTAAGAAAGTACAAACAATTTTCTTTGTTACTTAATTACACGAAAAAGGATACTCTAATCAAAATAAGATAGCCA